GAATTGTACAGACTTTGGTTTTAGTAATTATTATACAATTTTATTAAATAATGTTATTTCATAAATTTTCATAAATCGATTATTACATGTTTTATTAAACTTTAATTTATTAATTTTAATAATAAATGTAGAATTTCATGAAAATAGTTTTGCAAAAATAATTGTCAATTTTAATTCTAGAAATATTAATATAATTCGTGTTTAATAAATTTAATATACTTATTGTGTAAATCAAATAAATTGCTTTTTAACAATGTTTTCACCTAATATTTTAAATAGGATAAATAAATAAGAATAAATTTTAGTGTACTTTTGCATAATTTATTTGATTTACAAATAAATAAAATTATTGTCGAAATGTTATTCTATTTAGTATTTCATAAGAATATATGACAAATAAGTTATAACTATAGTATTTATAAACTAGTAAGAATTGAATAATATTCAACGGTTTAATAAGCGATACAATTATACATTGTGTTTTGCAATTTTTAATTAAATTCACATGATGTTAGTATTGCAAAAACCCAGTAGTGTATGTGTATTGTCTGAAATTCTGGCTCTGAATGACTAAATATAAAATTCTGTTCGACGAGTGCCTTATGTCTAAAGAACTAAGAATAAGAATTGGGACACAAATACACAAAATATAATATAAGGCATGTGTTTATTACGGGAAAGAATAGTTTTTGATACGACTATATGTTCGCAAATTGAATGTAAAGGAGAGCTGAATGTAAGAGAGAAGAGTGAAAATGAATTCTTTCTATAAATAAGTTTCAAACAAAACTAAAAGAATTTTAGGTCCTATGAGTGAAAATAAAACAAAAATCATTACGCGATTGCTTGATATAAAACTATATAAGAATATATTTATAAACTCGGTGTACATTTACGGTATATTCATGTACTAAAAATGGATTATTTATGTATCTATAAACTAAATTAATAACAAAACAAATAAAATTCTGTCAATTATTATATAATATGCAAAATAGGTATTTATGAAGGAATTGATGGATAATATGCGCTAATATGAGAGGAGTGATGCCCAACCCGTCCCATATGAGCCATACATTAGCGGCACAGCAGTGAACATCCGATTCCCGTCCCAAACAGAGTCGACGACTGAGCGCATCGGCAGTGATGTCGAGCCGACACTATTTCGCATTGAATTCGTGTTAAGGAGTGCTCGGAAGAGGACCTGTGACCCAAAAATAGTACGTCACCTAAACATACCTTCCTTAAGACAACTGTCTTTGTATGGTTAAGCACTAGAATCGCCTCTTGGGGTGGAGTCACGGCATACGATCAGATGGCATGCATTTAAAGGAATTCTACTTTTAATTTTCTGACACTGAGTTAACAGCTTTTCTAACTGTAAGTCTGTTTCCATTAGATTTTCATTTCATTCATATTTTATCCATTATTAAAGCATTAAATTATTTGTGACAACAATTTTACAAAAGGATTACAACTTATTCTTTGGGAATATTCTGTATCTTTAGGGGAAGTTGTTTTGCAGTGATCTTTGAGTGTCAGCAGTAGAGCCGCTGTTTCATTGCATTGATTTACTAATTGTCTGAACGGATCAAAATGGCAGAGGACCCTGATCCATCACAGTATCTGATCGTCTCTCTGGAGCAGAAGAGAAAGGATCAAACGAAGCCCTACGATGGCAAGAAAATGGTGTGGGTGCCCGACGAGAAGGAGTGCTACCTCCTCGGTAACATCGAAAGCACTAAAGGCGATATGGTCACCGTGGACTGTGGCAAGGGAGAAGTGGTATGACACATATACACCTGTGCCGGCAATGTTCACACATTGTGGGCACACTTTTCATTATTTTTCACAATTTTATTCTTCAATCATCGATATATGAATTTCTATATGAAATGATTGTATAATTATTATTGCAAAACAAATGATAAATGCATTGGAATTGATAGCGTACGCTGAAGAAAGACCTTGTTCAACAAGTGAATCCGCCTAAGTTTGAGAAATGTGATGACATGGCATCCCTCACATATCTAAACGATGCCAGTGTTTTGCATAATCTCAAAGAGAGATACTATAATCATATGATTTACGTAAGTCTAGCGACTAATCATTATTTCTTTTTCTTTTCCACAAAACCCTCCTTCGGTCCCAAAATGATACACATAAACCCCACTGTCCTTATGACTCGATCCCAAACCCCCCGAACAAAAAACCGATCCAAACCGAACCCCTGTAGAAAACGCTCAAAAAGGACCTGTGTCAACAGGTTAATCCACCCAAGTATGAGAAGGCTGATGATATGTCTAACTTGACTTATCTGAACGATGCCTCAGTTCTCTACAATTTGAGGGCACGTTATGAGAATCAACTCATTTATGTAAGTGAGGACACAGTCAGGTCTTCAATCGCATGGAGTGGTCATTGATATCATATTCTAAACAAATAGTCTTTTTTACAACAAATAACTTTATGTCTTAAAGACATAATAATTGATTAGCTTATTGTGCATTCGATGCACATATTATTTTTATTTATAAAACTCTAATCTCAATTTTTATATTCAAAAATAATTTATATACTTAAAATTATATCTTTTATGTAACATTTTTATCATTTTTAGTGTGTTTTATTGAAATTAATTCGTGTGACATGACTGACGGGTGCATATTGTCCTCATTGTAACCACAAATCAAACCCTCACCCTTTTGTCTAAACATACCATTCCCTTGTAGAATAGTAATACCGTAGAGAAGTTGGTGTCAAATCTGATTTTGTAAAGTAGTTGTAGAAACTTGTGACTCGAATGGCAACCCCTGAAACTGGACTCTTGAGCATGAATTATGATTAATATATTGAATCTATTAATACTCATGCATATAATTGGCTGATTAGACATATTCTGGACTGTTTTGTGTGGTAATCAATCCATACAAGCGTTTCCCGATCTACACGAATAGAGTGGTGCAGTTGTATAGAGGAAAGCGAAGGACTGAAGTACCGCCACATCTATTCGCCATTTCTGACGGCGCGTACACCGAGATGTTGACGAGTGAGTGCTTCATATGTCTTAAGACTTTGTGCTCTTTTGGCCAATTTGGCACTATTTGGCACAATTGCTATCACTGTTGAGGAAATGAGGGAAAGAGGATAAGCAGTGACTCCACACTTGCAAACAGTAACTCATTTATAGCTCTTAAAGAATGGCATTTATGTCTATCCGTAATAATAGTGTAAAGTATTTGGTCTCTGAATGCTTTATAAAGAGTGTGAGTGAGGCATGTCTTGAGCTGATCCACTCACTCCTTATAAGGCTAAGGATGTGATTCCTCTGTACTCTACTCTGCGCTACTATAGCGCTGTAAAGCACTGTAGTGTATACCATATTATACCCTACTATATCCTAGTATACATTTACTGAGCACTAGTACTACAGTTATGAAGTTATTTTTAGATTTCGATTATTAGTTCACTATTACAGGTCTATTATTAATGCAATTCACAACTGTTTAGCTATAGAGATACTGAGAATTTAGTATTAAAATAAAGAATACAAATAAATATATTATATTTCCCTCATTTGCTTACAATCAATACAATTACATAATAAGGCATTTAATAAAATATGAATTATTTTCTAATTGACAGATCGCGAGAACCAGTCTATGTTGATCACGTAAGTATACAGGATATACGGATATATACCCCAACCCTAACCATATTAACTAATCATCCCTTCCTTGAAATCGAAATAACATTTTTCCAAACCTAACCAAACACTCCCAATACATATTGGAATCAATGGATACAAACAATGAATAAAATTTGTAAAACACTGATAAAAGTGGAGAATCAGGCGCTGGAAAGACTGAGAA